CCAGCCTCAGCCCCACCCAAGCCCCATCCCCATGCCCTAGCCCCACTGTCTTCCCCACTGTCAGTGGTGAAATTCCAGAGAGACAGATTGTAACATTTGGGATAATACAATTCTATTCTCATTTTTATTTGTTGTTGCTACTGGAGAATTAGAAAACAATTTTAATATTTTTATTAGAAAGCCAACTTTCCTGGTAGGGCTGACTACAGACAACCACAGCCTGGGAAAGAGCACCACATGGGTGTCCTTTCTAGGTCCTCCCAACAACTGGAGATGGAAGAGCAGTCAGCCTGCGGGGCCTCCACCCCCGTGTACAGACCCTCTGCACACATGCGCACTTACACGCAGTAGCACTCAGCCTGCAGGGTCTCCATCTTGCGTGCAGATCCTCTGCACACATGACCCTCTGCACACATGCACACTCACACGCAGTAGCACTCAGCCTGCAGGGCCTCCATCCTGTGTGCAGACCCTCTGCACACATGCACACTCACACGCACCTGCATACTTTCACAAATACGTGCACATGTGTACTTAACACCCTCACACATCCCCACACTTGCTCTCCCAACTCCCAGAGCAAGTGGCGCTCAGGGCTCTCCTTCAGTTTATGCTTCATTCTGAGATTACATAATCCACAGTCTACAGAATGGACACATTAAGTGATAAACATTACAAAATGACAATGGTTTAGCTTTTCCTCTTAAGTCGCTTACCTTTCAAAGTTTCACTTTCTGATTCATCTGGGTGTGGTCACTTCGTAGGCTGGATGGGTAGTTGTGATCCCTGGCCACAGGGACAGGCTCATCTGGGATTTGCAGGTCAGGTCTGTCTTCCTCTATCCCCTGTGTGCCTAGGAAGCCACCACTGCTGCTGTAGCCTGGCTTAGGCACAGTATAGTCAGGGAGAGCCCAAAGCTGCCATCGTGTGGCCTAAACTAGGGCAGGCAACTTGGTAGGGTCGTGGTCCAAGGGAAGTTATATTCTGAAGCAGTAAGCCACACCCACCGATGGCATGGGGAGTCATCTGTCCAGAGAGTTAGGCCTCAGGTCAGACCACTAATAGGGTCTCATCCTACACACTGACCACTTCATTCATAACCATCCCTCTCCCCCACCCTAGATCACCCTGGGTGCTTCCAGGCTTTCCCGCTCTTTGGTGGATTTAACCACCCTCTTGGAAGGAAGCCAGTTTTCCTCTGAGGGTACTCTCACCTCTTCCTCAACCCTTCCTATAGTAGCTTCCTATAAAACTCTTAGTGGCACCAAGGGCTGGCCTAGGATTTCCCACAGTCCCTCAGATCAGCTGTCTCTGTGGCCCTGACAGAGTGTCTTTTCAAGTGGCTGCCGTTTGTGAATCTAGGTTAGATGTCTCCTGAAGCTTTGATTGTCTATGTACCAACCCCTACCAAGGCTCTTCCAGTGTTCCCATGTCTACAGGCTTCAGTGAAATCTTGTGATAATCCCAACACCCGGAAGTGAGTTAGTCCTTTCTGAGAAGGCACCCTGGTTTGAGAGCAGGAAATGTTTTCAAATGATGTTAAGGCTTTCACTTGCTAATTTGATTTTCCCATTCAGGGATTAAGTACTTAGAAGTTGAACATGTTTCCAGCCCCTTTCCCCAGAAGGGCTTTTGAGGTAGTACTGAGAAAACAAAAACCAAACAACAGCCAAATCCTGAGCAGACATAGGGTCTGAAAACTGAGCTGGGCATATCTGGAGCCCCAGAACTGGGGAAGACCAGGTAGAGAGTGAGTCCCTAGATTTACAACATATGTGGCTGTATGTCAGTTAATATTTAAAATTTTAATCTTCTGATTGCCTATTGTCATAAAATGTAAGTTGTCAGAATGGATTGGGCATGAATTCACAAGTCTATGGGAATTTGACCCTCTGTCACACAGGTGGGAACCATTTCTATCTGACTTCTCAGCTTCCTAAGACACAGGGATGTTGGAAGGTGATCACCTGAGCCTCATCTGTCCTCTTCCGTCTCTGGGCTGACCGGGTGTGGAGGGCTTTGTCAGGCACACTGATCTGAGGGGCTCCACACTAGCCTGACAGCTTGAGTGGGAAGCCATCTTGTTTGGCTTGGACACACTGCTTCCAATTGTCTGATACTTGCAAGAGACTCAAAGAAACAGGAGCGGTGATAAACCAAGGGGCATAGTCTCCCTAAAGCCAGAGCCCTAGACCTATGCAAGCCAGTGTCTCCTTCTCACCAGTAGGTGGCACTTCCTCCCACCCCAAAGCCTTCTCCACCTTCTTCTGGGTTGGACTTGAAGTACCAGTTGACCAGTCTGATGCAGACATAGAATTGAGAATTCAGCCAAGCACAGCCCAGGTCTCTGAGTGTCTTCTTAGGGGACTAAGCTGTCAAAGGGTGGCCTTGCAGGGCCAGAGAACAAAGTGTGAATTCACCCTGTTGGTCCCAGGAAGCCCACCCCCAAGTATTGGGTTGTTTTTTTTTTTTTGTTGTTGTTGTTTTGTTTTGTTTTGTTTTTTTGTTTCCAGTACACTGAAGAATGCCATGGGAGGGAGCATTTTGCTCAGTCCTGTAATTTTCAGTCTTGTCATGGAAGTGCCATGGACAGGAAGCCCCTGGTTATGCCTGACACCAGTACAAGTGGGACAGTGGTGTGATGAAATCAAATGTGTGGATGGCTAGTTGTCTGCCAAGACATTCAGAGACTCAGAGACCCAGCTCCAGACGCAGGGTGTCCCTCTGACAGAAGGGGCCTCAGCACTCCACAATACGCAGTCTCTCATGGCACCAGGGATGTCCCACGTGTCTGCCTACCTCCCCTACCCTACCCCACTCTCTTCCCCCTGACAAACACAGGTGGATGAGGTACTGTGTCACATGTAGCTGGGGTCATCATCAGCTATTGGCTAGATGTCTTCTAAGGTTATCTCTTGTTCAAGTCTGATTCTGAGTCCTGGGTTATTATAGCATCATGTAGTGTAGTGAGGAAGAGCATTGTGGGTGGGGCCTGCAGATGACAAAGGTGTCTGTGGTTAGCTCTGAGTACACATGCATGTGAGTGTGGACACACACACACACACACACACACACACACACACACACACACACGTATTCGAATGTAGTGTGTTGTTACATGTCCTCTCAAAAAAACAGGAACTTAGAGCTGCACAATGTGACCTTATTTCAAAAGAGTATCTTTGCAGATGAAGTTAGTTAAATTCCCATGAGGTCCTATTGGGTGAAGCCAGTCCCTAATTCCAGTGTTGCTGATGACATCATAAGAAAAGACACTACACAGACACACACAGGGAAGGGGCCATGGGCAGGTGGGGTGAGAAGCAGGAGGGGTGCAGAGGGAAGTCTGGGAACTCCAAGGAATTCTGCCACCACCAGAAGCCAGAAGAGTCCAGGAAGCATCCTTCCCCTGAGTGCTCACTGGGAGCTGGGCTCTGCTGATAGGTGAATTTTAGTTCCAGCCTCTGGGCCAGTGAGAGGGTAACACATTTCTGACGATTTAAGGGCCACCCAGTGTCTTCATGAGACATTGTTACTGAATCCCCAGGAAATGAATAGCTGAGTCCTGCTTGGGTGATGTGGGAGAGAGCTGTTAGTTACTCTTACTAATGTGACCGGACTCCTGACAATGGAGGACAAGGGATTTGTCCAGGGTCGTGCTCTGGGCAATACTATAGCCCATCACTGCAGCAGGAAGGCCTGGGGCCAGGAGCCGCTTCAGGCTGCAGCAGTAGAAATAAGGCTGTGGGTTATGTTGCTGAGACTGGAAGTGGAGTTAGCCTATAACCCTCAGGTCCGACTCTAAGAGACCTACATCTGTCTTCTAATCCTCACACCCAAAAGGTTGCAAATCAGCGCCAGCAGTTGGGGACCAACTGTCCAAACACACGAGTCTACGGGGCACACTCTGCATCTGACATAGCAACAGCTGACCCTCCCCAGCCTCACTTTCCCTTTTCTGTCAATGCAGGGATTGCATGGCCTTGCCTTCTATGCCTTTTCAATCTGTTCAGCGCTCAACCCTGACTGGGGCTGATGGGCTCAGCCCCAGTGATAATATTTGAGAACAGTCCCCAAGCACAGAAATGCATACTGTCTCTATTAGTCACTGTCTCTTTGTTGTGACAAAATATTTGACAAAAGTAACTTAGGGGCCAGGGTTTATTTTGGCTCACAGCCTGAATGCACAGGGAAGTCATGGTGACAGATACATGGCAGCTGGCCCTATCACATAGTCAGGAAGCAAAGAGGGCCAGGGCTCTGC